GCCAACTCTTAATAGTCTTGAGTTCTTAACCGAACTGCACGTACTACGTACTGTATGTTTTTAAGAGAATGGCTCTTGGTCCACAGTCCAGAATGGTTTCAGTATCTTACACTAGTTTTAATAAGATTAGACAATGAGTAGAATACAACATAATTGGTGTTTTTCATTCACGTAATGTCTTCAAATTTAGAAATGAGGATTCGCTCTCTCATTGTACTGGAAGAAAACAAAGAGGAGGAAGTGTGCATTTCTAATCCACTTAACAAACTAAGGTCAAGAAAAAACTCGAATCATGCAAATACCAACAGAAAAAAATAAAAGCGTACGTAGTTGGAACACATATTTTGTAGTTTAAAAGCGTATCAATATATATAAAAAATGTTTCACGTAAGATTCCATGCGAGTGTATTCAATTTCAGGGTAAAGCTCTGATGCTTCTTCTTCACCTTCTCCAATTTCAAAGTTGGTTAAACATCCTTCATAGAAGACGTGATAGAAATGACCTACTCCCACTTGTTGTACATAATCCAGTTCTGCATTATACAATTACACAAAATATATAAAATAAAAAAGGAAAAAGAAAAAGAGTAGAAATATAAAATTTAGACGTTGATTATAATAGGACGGGAGCAGTATCAGTCATCGTCATAAATTAGAAAGTCAAAGATAGAAACTCATTACGTGTACTCGTGTAGTACCTTTCAATGGAGCCAAGAAATCTTCTTTAGAAAGGCTAATTTTATTTAATTCTCTCCCTTTAAGTTTTTCCCATTTTTCAATTAACTCCCTTTGAGTGAGAATGTTTTCTGGTGGTCTAATATAGACGGACTTGTCCAAAGCTCGCGGATCCTCTACTGCCTTGACTGTATACGTGGCGATATCATCTTCATCCATGAAAATCACTACAACATGCATGCAAGTTTATAATATTTTCTCATACCCATAATTATCATCCAATTTGAGTTTTCATTTCTATTTTAAATTATATAAAAAGTGAAATCCCAAATTTAATGATTTTGGGCGGAGGGAGCAGTAAATTAATACGTATTAACAAAGTGATACGTACCTTTCTTATCGCTATTTCCATAAACTATGACATTTTCTTTGGGTGGAACCCAAGTGAACAGTTGATATAAGTTGCCAGCAAAATAACCGGCAAAGCAACAACCACAAACGTATGTATATGGGACTTTAGCTTCTTCAATTGCCTTCCTAACCACCATTTTCTCGTCAAATGATACCCTTCCTGGTTCCATTACCTTTCCCATTCTCGCCGGATTCATATTTGTAACAAACAGAAGGAGCCATGAAAGCAAAAGAGACAGAAAAATAAATCGTTGTTGTTGAACTAAAATAATGTAATGTAACAAACAAGATTGTTATTTTTTTGGCCTTATATGTAGAAGAAAACTAAAACCTCAAACTTTGACATCCCATGGGATAAATTTAAATATGAACCTAGGTAAAGGAATGATCTAATTAATTAACAAAAACAAAATCTGAAAATTCATGGGATTGGTGGAGAGATGTACCATGTATCTCGCAGTGGAATTGTGAAAAAGATACAGCTTATTCACCTCCTATGTATAGTGATTATGTGTCTCAAATTAAAGATAAAAAAATTCTATTTTCAGAACTAGGGAAGAGATATACCTTTGAGTGGAATGTGAAATGCGACAACATTTCCAATTGCCTTTGATAGTCTGAGCATTTAATTAAGAGAAGCAATTAGATGACTGGCCTTTGTGTACACAATGTCAAAAACTTTGGAGGAATCTCATTGAGTCTCTTATACAATATTTATACCAAAAGCATTTGCATAAACCGCCAATAACATTCAAATGATGCATACAATTAGTGTTTCCATGTTCCACGAATAAGCTATTTACATTAAAACATTAGGGGGGAAAACCGCTTAATGACAACTATCTCACATTAATATTATTGTAAGAAATTACTTCAGAAATCTTAGTACAATTGAGACGAACTAATGTCATTTCTCCAACACACCCTGCGTTCTATACTAAATTCCATTCGGACCTAAGTGAAAGTTTATCGTGCCTGATAATTAGTTTTTGCGATTTTTTAAATTCAACTAATAACTAAGATCGATGGCAGGTGTGTTTATTTCCATGTGGGACAAAGTTCATTTCCTCCATCAGCATCTTAGAAAATTTCCACCTTCGAAGGCTTCACCATATTCAGGAAGTCCTTTGTAATAGATGTGACAGAATTAAAAAATAAATAAATAAATAAATAAATCTATTTTATGAAATTAAAAAAATGTAGTAATATAATGTACTGTTTTTTTGTCCAAACCACTCTGCCAGCGCATTTAATGTACCGTGAATTCTTCATCATATCATATCGCATTTAAAAACAGCGCATTTAATTGTATGTGAATTCTTCATCATATCAATTATCAAAAAGAAGAAACCACATTTAATGTTGACATAGTACAACAATTATAATATAGGGATGCTAGGTGTACCTAGTGTGAGTCTCACGCGATCCAAAAATGGACATCTCTTAATATTTACAACAATTCCATTTAATTCTCCATTTTGTGTGATTTTTGAAATTTCAAACCCCACCATTTCCTCTTAATTTTCAGCCATTAACCATATCCATCTTCCACATCATTCATCACAATCCGTCTCAAACAAAAAAAAAAAACTAAAAAACTAAATTTTCTCTACGGCGATTTGGCCAGAAAACCTCTCGTCGGCTGGATTTTTTGAGACGGAATCAGATTGTGCATCAAATCCAATGAAAATTATGGAAATATATTATGTTCAAGATGTGATTTAAGGTAATACATGAACAAAATTCATCTACGCAGAAACCACCGATTGAGGATCCTGAACCGAACAGAAGCAGTTCGGAAAGTGAAGATGAACGAAGGTAATTACTATTAATCTTTTGGACTATTGATGTGTTTTTTGATGGGTTTTATAGATTTACTGTATATGCATTCGATTATGCATATCTGTTCATCAAGTTTAAACTTTTCTTCATATTCAACCATTGGTTTTTTTTTTGTTTGGGTTTTGTAGATGTAAGGTATATTCACTCGATTGACGATGTTTGTTCATCAATTTTAGAGTTTTGTTCTTCTATTGGATGTTGTTTTTCTGGGAAATTGGTAGATTTTTGTATTATTCATCAGGTTGGTATAATTATTCATTGTTGAAATTACCGTGTTCATCAGTTTGGTATAATTATTCATTGTTGAAATTGCCGTATTCATCAGTTTGGTATAATTATTCATTGTTGTATATCATCTACCTCATGAATTTTTTACTCATTGTTTGCTACATGCAAATTGTTTCCAATATACAACACTAGATTTGGACATTTTCCAATCTTTGAACCTTTTTATTGAAAAAACAATGCGCTAGAATTGTAAGAAGCAAAAGCCTCTTCCTCAGAGTTGAAAATTCGTCCAATTATTCATCAATAAAAACTCGTTATTCATTAATTAACGTAAGATATTCATCATAAAAACGTAATAAGATAATACACCATCGGTCAGAAAACAACAATGAAATTCCTGTTCATCATTAACCATATAATACACATTACCTTACGCATATATATTCATCAATAAAACAAATACAGTCTACATCAACCATCTTTCAATAATTGCATAACATTATTCATTGTCTAAACGTTGGTTATTTATTATTGAGAAAATACACATTGATTCTCCATATTCATAAGTCTCAATGATTAACCATAGTCAATTTTACTAAAATAAAATCCATCGTTATAAATAAATTATCGCATAAAATAAAATAATATAAAAGCTAACATGATAAAAAAAAGGTTTAAAATTAAACGTGCGTCAAAAAAAGGGGATAAGATCAAGGAGTTAAATGCAGAAAAAAAGGGATAAAATTATGGGGATTAAATGCCAAAAAAATGAGGATAAATTTCGATGATTAAATGCGCGTGTGAGAACTAAAAATCCGGACTAAAATGATCACTTTTTTTCTCCTAAGTTTGTGATACACGCACTGCCTGAGTACACCTTGCAAGGTGTACCTAGGATCTTAATATTATTTGCCCATAATACAGTAGTCGGAATCTTATTATTAATTATTAACTCTTTGAGCATATTTGTTGCTGAAACATCGAATGGTAATTAATTAATTATGATCCTGTTGTTGTCTAAAGACCTCAATAAATAGGACATATGAGAAAAATAATTTAAGATTGTTCGGTAATTTCGTATTCGAGAAAATAATCAAAATATATTGTATACTGGTGCTACATCCTTTGTTTTAGTGGAGTAAGTACCAGCACCTAATTTGTTGGTAAAACTCTCATAAGAGTTATCAATTTGAGTAATTATATTTCACTCTACTAATAAAACTCTACTATTAACTCCACATACATGTCAATCCTAATTGGCACATCAACCTCATTTCATGATTTTATAATAATATTTAATCAAAAAATTAATTGTTATGGTAGCTAGTTTTTTTTTTTTTTTTCCCTTTCACAAACGAATTGTATCTCTTTCAGTCTGCCGTATCGGCATACCTTTCCAATACAATGGCCATCGGTGTTTGGCATCAATTGTGAGGGTTCAATTTGCTTTGATTTCCATTTGCTAGAAATGTTGGGCCAACAAATACAATGGCATCGAGAAGGTAAATTGCATCAACATAAATTGGAGAAGGGCACAATAAAAACTAATCCAAGAAAAATCCCAACGACATGATATGGAGATTCATGAATACCACTTAGTAACAAACTGAATATTTTTGGTCAAAGGACCAGCCTTGCTTTTGCGAGGATTTGTGATGAACTTTTCCGAAGATTATATGAGGAGAGAGAGGTATTCCAATTCTCCGACGGATAACTCTTATTGATTATCGTTTTTGAAAAACTGACAATGGGTGTTTAATTTTTTTAATAATTAATAAATATTATTGTCATAAAATCATAAAATGATTTGGATTGTGTCAATTAAGATTAGAGTTACGAGTAGAGTTAAAGTAGTTTGACTGCATAATCCTGGTACAACAGCTGCATACACAATATCTATTACAGTCCTTTTTCGTTAACTAGTTGCATTGAATTTGGAATGGAGCCTTAAAAAGAGAAATTATTGAAAAACTTTGAATATCAAATAAAATCAATGTGGATCAAGTATCAAGCAAATGTCCCAGAAACGATAAAAGCGTAACGAACATAGGTATTTAGTAGTTTAAAAATGTTTCAATCAATATCTATAGAAAACGTTTCAGGTAAGAGTCCATGCGATTGTATTCAACTTCCGGGTAAAGCTCCGAAGCTTCTTCTTCACCTTCTCTGATTTCAAAATTGGTTAAACATCCTTCATAGAAGACATGATAGAAATGACCTACTCCCACTTGTTGCGCATAATCCAATTCTGCATATAGGTTCATCATCCATTATCAAACAAATTATTTGACACATTAAAAAAGAAAAAAAAAGTAGTAGAGAAATTAAAATTTATATGTTGATTATAATGGGACGAGAGAAGCATCAGTCATCGTCATAATTAGAAAGTCAAATATAAAAACTCGTTAGATTACCTTTCAATGGAGCCAAGAAATCTTCTTTAGAAAGGGTAATTTTAGTTAGTTTTCTCCCATTGAGTTTTTCCCACTTTTCAATTAATTCCTTTTGAGTGAGAATATTTTCTGGTGGTCTAATATACACTGTCTTGTTCAGAGCTCGAGGATCATCTGCAGTCTTGACTGTATAAGTCGCGATATCATCTTCATCCATGAAAACCACTACAACATCCACATTTGTAATAAATAAGTATATGTACTAACAAAGTGAATTATTGATATGGAAAAGGGAAAAGGATAGTATAACATATTCTTGAAAGCCCAAATATAAGTCCACATGTGGTTCCATCTCAAAACCAATTGGTGATAAGAGGAGTAGCACATGGGGTATATATAATGGGTTCAAGTGTTTCCTCCCATCCATGTGGGACAAGGGAACATGAGGCCATTTTCTTTCTTTCATTCATTTAACACGCCCCACTCAAGCCCAATGGGCTTGGACGGATAATCTTATATATTTTTTTCAATCTTGCGATCGGTTATTTTCCCGGATAAACCGTCGCCTGCCGGGCCAGTTAAAGTTCAAAGTCAAACTTCGGATTTCTTCCGTGGGTTGACCAAAGTTTCAATACCCAATCTGGATCAGTCCACCTCGCCCCACAAGTCTCACAGGTCCGTGGATTAAAACCCGGTCTGATACCATCTTGAAGGCCCAAATATAAGCCCACATGTGGTTCTACCTCAAAACCAATTGGTGATGAGGGGAGTAGCACATGGGATATATATGTTGGGTTAAAATGTTTCCTTCCATCCATGTAAGACAAGGGAACATGAGGCCATTTTCTTTCTTTCATTCATTTAACACATATACACATGGACTGCACGTATACGTACCTTTCTTATGGCCATTTCCATAAACTATGACATTTTCTTTAGGTGGAACCAAAGTGGATAGTTGACATAAGTTGCCAACAAAATAACCAGCAAAGCAACAACCGCAGACGTATGTATATGGGATTTTAGCTTCTTCAATGGCCTTCCTAACCACCATTTTCTCATCAAATGTTACCCTTCCCGGTTCAATTGCATTTCCCATTCTGGCCGGATCCATCCCGAATTCTGATGGTATGAAACGCTAGAAGAAAAAGAATTAAATCAAAGGGATCATTAAATCGTGTTGATGTTGATCGGTACTCGAATGGATTGCCACTCAAATCCATAGAATAGAAAATTGTATCAATATTCCCATGCTATAAATTTTACTACCTCTGTCTCAAAAAAATAGTTCACATTGAGTTTTCAAATTTGTATAAAATAGTACAAAACTTAAAATTCAATGTAGACTATTTTTATGGGACGGAGAAGTAATAATTTTCTTTGTTGTACTAAAATAATATAATGTAAAAAAGGTTACTATTAAAATGCGACAAACAAAAAGTAAATTATAACTAACATAGTGAAATTTGGAGAAGTTATGAAAGCTGATGTGGTTAGATTCAAAGAGAAATATATGATTTCTTGGAAAATACAACAATGTCAACTTAAAACATCAGATTGATGTAAAAAAATGTTAAGCCTTTGAACGTAGTCAAGTTGAGATCAATATATATTTATCATTTTACGTTGTATAAAGAAAAAGAAAAAGAAATAAGGAAAGACCACATATGAACACATAGTCACATACCAAACGTTTAAAGGATCTAACGTTTTTCTACCCAAGAAAAAATGGCAAAAGTTGGTTTAGCGTCAACGTCAAGTTAATTTTCTGGCGGTGTGCTAGATTTTCCATGAAGGTGGGGGTAGCTGAACAATGACGGTCGAACTACCAAACCTCCCTTCCAGAATGGATGCTTCGGTGGCTACTTCTGTTAGGAGATTGATTAAAAAAAAGGCTTAATGTTAATTATACTTATCACTTGAGTTCAGTTCATAATGTCAAGAATTTATAGTGCTTAGTTGTTTTCAGAAGTAGGTAAATCATATCAGTTGTAGTGATTTTTACGTTGATCCTTATCAAAAAAGCACTCATAATTGGTAATAAGTAATTCTTTTTACTACATTTATGAAATTGAACCAATTAGTCATAGAAATTAAAGTACGAACATCATGAATGGATTAGACTGTATTACGCTTGTTTATTAATCTTATCACTTTGAGCAATGCAAATCTAACAAAATTCATTATTAGAAATATACATAAGTATAGGGTCCAGGCAGAGGGAGTTCTGAATTTCCAGAAAATTAATAAAAAAAAAAGCCGGTTCTAGCTCTTACTTAACTAGTTACGTTGTACGAAAATTTGTAGTACATGTTATTCGATATCGGTGGTTTTAGAGTTCATAAATAATGCAACTTGCAATATCAAAGCATTTTATCATGCAAACTAAGGCAAAGAAAACAAAATATCCTAACTAAAAAGAATGTAATTTATTTTATTTTTTGTTGAATTAAATCTACTTAACAAAATCGAACAGATAAAACACATAGCCAAAAGCCAAACGTACAGTTTTCTTCCTCAGCCTAGATTTTAATGTTAGTTAAGCAACAAACCAAGCATCCGGAATTCCATAACCTGTCCAAAAATCCCTCCCCAATAACTAAGAAACTACGTACAAAAAAAGATGACCAAGAACACGAGATTGAAATTTTGTATTTCATCTTTTCTAAACTGATTGTCTTGAATAATTATTTGGGACGAAGAGAATAATAGCTACTAGATATTTGATAATCATAGTAATAATAAATTTACCTTGACATTTCCAGCTTCCTTGATGGCTTGAACGAGTTTAAGCTGCAACAATATGTTATGGCTGCGGAAATGAACCCCAGACATCGTACAGATGACAACATCAACAAGTTTGACTGCATCCACGAGGCTTTGATGATCGGAAAAGGAACCCTCAACCAGATGAGCTCCTTGATCCTTAAACGACAACAACATTTGAAGTTTGTCGATGTCCAATCCGATTTCCGCCCTCTGAAGAACATAGGTTGGGTGCCCTTGTGCTAAGCTCGCCTTCACAATTCTCTTCCCCATGTATCCTGTTCCTCCCACCACCAGAATTTTACACTTCCCCATTGCTTCGGGTTCTTCGCTAACAAAAAAGGGAAGATAGAGAGTGTGTAAGGAAGAAATTAAAGGTATGAAAATATAAAGAACTTGGTTGTGGTGGAAGGATGAGATTGGTTGTGGTTGATTATATAGTTGGGGATTGAAATGGAATTTGCCAATAAGAGTTAGTATCAATTTTTATCGATCTCATTAATTAAGCATTAATAAATGACATAAATTTCTGCGTGACACTCAAAACTTAAAAACGTTAATCATTCGAATTTGAGACTAACATTTAAATATAAAATGTTACAAAAGATTATTTTAGGCACCAAAGACTGACGGTAATTATGTTCTGTCATTTAAATATACGATCTGTTCTAGCTACAGATTTATAACGCCTTTCTTCATTATTTTATGTGGTTATAGTAATATGGGAGCATTATGATAAAACTAATATTATATGGTAAAAGCCACTTTAGATCTGTTCACCAAACTTGTAAGATATCCTACAACGACATTGGTAAATTATGGGAACTGGATATCTTAAACAATTATCAACATGTGGCTTGGCCTTTTTCTTCCTTTCTTTGATGACTTAAAGGAGCTGTTAGCAATCGTGTAGTAGTTGCATAATATATAACGGAAAGTGTCATATACTTTTTTTTTTTAAAAAAAATGATTGTATCATTTATCGTATAGTAATTATTATGATTATAATAAAATTAAATAATTATTTTATTACAGAAAAGGCATAAGATTTTGGCTTAAATGTAGCTTTGAAGTGGTAAATTATTTGGCATTGATCCTACAATAGGTGTAGTGGAGACATTAGGCCCGTGTGGTAAGAGGATATTAAATTGATGGGACCGTTTAATTTGAATGCAAGGTGTAATTTTTTTATCGAGATTATATGGCCACTGATATGTAGAAAGAATAATATTATAGGGAATATTGGCGGAACATCCCAACGTTCACTCTCTGCTAGCAAATTCATCCCAATCTTTTAAAATTAAGTAATTATATCCCAAATTTTATAAAATTGAGTGCAACCATCCCATGACCTATTGTTAACCTAGAGTAACAGGTAAATTTTACTTAATTTTATAAATTTTACTTAATTTGATATTTATTTCTTTTGCTAATTATTTTTTTATTTTTTTCATTTTATTTTAGTCTGGTTAATTATGTCATTCCATCGTCCCATCTCTCCCAATACCGTTATCGTTACTGAACAAAACACTCGGTTTTCAATCTGTTTGGAACTTTTTTTTATGGTTTTTTCATAATAGTTTATTAATAAATGTCCAATTTTACATATCTTTTATATTTTTAACACAATTTTTTACAATTTTAGTACAAAAAATATCTAAATACACACACTGAAAAAGATCCAAACATAAGTAAGAGTTTCAATTTATGTTTGAAACAAGTGGAATCAAAATCCACCATGCATTATTTAGATATTAAAAAATAAAAAAAAAGATTAAAAAAAATCAATTGCTTCTTCATAATAAGGCCATAACCAGATTTGAAAAATTTTTATTAAAAAATATTAAAAATTAAGAGAGAAAGAGAGAAAGAAAGCGAAAATAATAATTTTCACCTGTTGTACCGGGTTAATTTTGTGTTGTTTCAGGTCATGAGATGGTTCACTCAATTTTAAAAACCTTAGGATATAATCATTCAGTTTTAAAAGTTTGGGATGAATTAGTTAGCAAGTAGTAAAGTTAAGATGTATCCGCCAATATTCCCTAATATTATACCCAAAAATAGACAGGGCTTAGGTTTCAATATTGGGATCAAGTTTTCGAATTTTGGTGATTGAGAAATTTACTCAGACTGTTATCACTGAAGTACTCTTAAAAGTGTTTTTAAAAAAGGGATGGGGAGGGGGATTGGGGGAGAGTAGTTTATTGTATAGTTACTTTACATTTGATTTGTTCATACACAAATTCACATATAGTTCATTCATATATATATAACAGTTTGAAATTAATAGGTTTGATTGGTGTGATGTCAAAAGTTTCAATAATAAACATCAAAGTTAGTTAATTACTGTACTATTTGAAAAGTCAAAGCTGAATAAACACAGGGTTTTTACTTTTCTTTTGTTTGGTCCACTTGAAAGTGCTTCTCGAAGGTCACTTGTACTTGTACAATTCCTTTTAGATTGGAGGTGGTAGATATTCAACTCTCAATTCTCTACAATACAAACCTATTTTATGTGTTTTACCATTGGGGACGCAGATGGAACATTGACTTTTGAGATATAAAATACTCGCTCTATCTCACAAAAATAATCTATATTGAGTTTTGAGTTTTATACTGTTTTTAGTACAAATTTAAAAACTCAATGTGGATTATTTTTTTGGGATGAAAGTAGTAACAAATAAGAAACTTAATTAGGTAGTTACATTAAACCTCGTTTCTTGAAAGTATAGTACATAGAGTGTATATAATCGGCCAACTTTGTGATGGTGAAGGAAAAACATAAAAGGACGACAGGGATCAAATGTTGAGTTTGAAACGAACAAAAGGCCTATGCATCTTGGAACATTCTAATGCCGCCAGGGAGCCAGGGTCGGATTAGTATGAAGGAAAACTATAAATAATTGATAGTCCCTCTGTTAAGAAAAATCCACATTTAGTTTTGAGATTTTTATTATTTTGAAATTTGTACTAAAAATAGTACGAATCTCAATATTGAATGTAGAATATTTTTTTAAACAAAGAAGGACTACATCAAACCATTGCATTTTGACACATTTTCTTTTTCAAAATGCAAAGAACAAAAGACATTTCTAATCGAGGAAGATGGCTTTTCTCTTACGACAATTTCACCTTTCAATTCAAGTTCCATCAATTTCAATATCATTCTGGTGAAGAATTGACTATTTTACCACTCTTTAGGCATTTTGGTATGGGTAGCATGTCTCCTTCATTGAAAATTTTACACAAAATTTTGTTAAGCAAAAGCCACATGTTTCATCATTGACAATTTCGTTTTGACTAAAATCACCACAACTGCCAGCACTCCAAGATATTGTTAAACTCACCTGTCTGTTATAGAAGTTATGAGTGAGTAGTATTCGGATGTCACAATATTGTAATCTTAATATATTAAAACAGTTGGATTTCCGAAAAAATTTGAGCGTTGTGGTTTCATTAAAAAATGAAACCAATTTCATGTTTGAGATAAAGGAATTGGCACATATAAAGCCAAATGTCAAGTTATATTTAAGTTACACACGTATTTTTGGAGGGTCAGGGTCGATTAGGGACAAGATAATTTGCTGCAACTTAAAATGCAAAAATGCAAATGTTTGGGAATATTGTGTAATGTTAGATTGAAACTCAGGCTTCCCTATTCGTGAAAATGTTGGGTGCCACGATCATTTGTTTTTTTAACATACTCATCAGGGCATGCGAAAAGTGTTTTCACTATTCCCGCAACCACAGTTAACGCCGTCGAGGATGACATAATTTCACGATTATGGCGACCGGTCCTACGGTGAGAATATGAGGGCGGATGGATTTAAATACTTATAGTACTTTGACTTTAAATTCGGTGAGAATATGAATTTAAATACTTTGACTTTATACTAAAAGTTTTGTGTTTGACTTATAGTACATCTTCAAATATCCTTAGTTATCATCACAGTTGAAGCAGGATTTGAAGATTCCAAAACTGGAAGAGCTTGAACCTGATGATCCTGGTTGATAACTATGTAGTCAACTTGGTCAATTTTTGTAAATAAAATGTTTTGTACATATGCAGGAGTTATTTTGTATTTTCTGTAAATAGAAGGGTTGATTAGTAAACAGCAATTGGTTAGTATTAAGTCGGTTAAGTCGATTTTCTGTTTGTATATGTTAAGCTGTGTTTAGCTTAATGCATACGTGATGATAATATCAATACAGTAAACTTTCTTCTTGATTTCTTGAATCCATGGCTTCCGTACTCTTTGCCCTAATTTTTCTTCGTGAGTTACGTTTCTGATTTGTTATTTCTTTTGTGTTCTTTGCTGATGTGTTCTCCCTCATTGCAGGGAAAATTGTCCTTGGAAAGGGCTGCGATGAGCCATAAGCCTATTTCTTATTCTCTTTTCCAGTTCTACGGCCAAACAAAAAAATACTAATTTTTTTTTCTTGAAAGTTTGCATGATATTTTATTTTGATGTTTGTTTATAGTCCTTTATTTCAATTTTCTGTTTCTAATTTCCGGAGGCCATGGGGAAATTTTCACGAGAATGAGGAGTTATCAGCTTATGATCGAGCTTCTCCTCTTTATGAATAAGAAAGTAAAAGAATGAGAGATAGAAACTTAAGTGCAGTCAATTTATTTTTTTAAAGGATCGGGATATGAACCTTTGTTGATATTGAGTTGCATGTGTATATTCTTTCATGTACTTATTGTTAATCAGTTTGATATGTCCTAAATTTCATTTATTATAATCTTTTAATTGAAAATAAAATTTTAAAAATTTATTTTTACATTATTCTCCTTGTTACTATAAAGAAGTTTTAAACTTTTATTCTCGATTAGGAAAACATAATATAATAAATTTAATTTAAGACAAATGAAAGTGATTTATAATAAGAACGGGATGGTTTAGTTTGTTAAACTGAGCACTTTCTCAAACTTCGGGAAATTGCCTCTTTACCAATTTGGATGCAAAACGTTGCAAATTAAGTGCACACCCAAAGAATGTGGAAGTGTATAGGTCGGTCTCTCTCCTCCCTTCTTGCTTTTCTTTAACTCTTTGATTGTCATGCATGCAATTTATTTATTTGATTGCTATGAGGTTATTGTTTTTATGCAGGATGAGAATCATGGACTATGGTTTGCAGATAGAATGAGTGTCTCTCTTAGATGTATTGTTTTAAATTGAGATGTTTGCATAACCTTGATGTTCCAGTTGTAATCGACAAATGTAGATGTAAAGTTAGCATTCTGATGGAAGCCAGAAAGAGAAAAAAAAGTTGAGTTCGAGTTCTTTATTTATTTTTCTAATCTTTCAGAATCATCCATCATATTGTAGGCTGGTCTGTAGTCTTAACCCATATTTTCTTTCTATGAGTAGAATCGAGGGAGCTGTTTTTATTGTTTGAACCCAAAAAAAAAAAAAGAATTATAAATAGAAATTGTTTTAAGACGTTTTTTTTTAAAAAAAAATCGAAGACTAATTTCTTTAGGAGACAGGAAGAGGATTATCATCATCAATAATTTTCTTTTTGAAATGCACAAACTTGAGGCTACTTCCATGTGTTGGTGGACCTCAATTATCTTCATTTGGAAGAAAAGGGACAGTTTTGCAGTCCCATATATTAGCTTCAAGTGTTGTTACCTTTGCATTGAGTCTTCCTCCAACCAATGCTCCCAAGGTAAGACTCCACATTGTCTTCATTACCGTTTTCTTTTTGTTTCCACAATTTAAATAATCATGAAGTTCATGTATGAACAAACAAAAATAAGTACGTAAAGTGAACTACATTTTTGCAGTAGTTCAAGAGCATCTTTCTCCTTTTTCTTTTTTGGAAAAATTTAAACAATTTGAAGATCTGATTAAATAGCTTTGGTTGTACTCGCACGTTGTCATAAAAAATTAGAAGAAAGAAATAATTCTATTTATCTGACTATTCTTTTAGGACAAAATGAGTATATAAAATGTCCTCCCAACAAAAAGTACCATTAAAGAATTTGTTCAATAGAGAGACATTAGAACAAACAGTGCATTCTATATAAATTGAGAAATGTCTAAGTAGTTGTTATGATCAGGATCAGTTGAAGGGTTTCTATTGAGAAAAAGAAAGGTAATTTCTCTCAAAACTCACATAAACACACACTAAATAACAGAACAATGGGATCAATGGGAGAAGGGAAAATTGAGACAAAAAGCAAGGTGCTGATCGTAGGGGGAACAGGTTACTTGGGAAAGAGGTTGGTGAAGGCAAGTCTAGAACAAGGCCATCAAACCTACGTTCTTCATCGTCCCGAAATCGGCGTCGACATCGAGAAGATTGAAATGTTGCTGTCATTCAAGGCACAAGGCGCTCACCTCGTACCTGCTTCGTTTAATGATTACCAGAGCTTGGTTGATGCTGTCAAGCTAGTCGATGTTGTGATTTGTGCAATTTCTGGTGTTCATATCCGATCTCATCATATTTTGCTTCAGCTCGAGCTTGTTAGGGCCATCAAGGAAGCTGGAAATGTCAAGGTATCTATAAGTGTCCATGAATTATGCATAATTTTTTCTTGAGTTACCAATATTTTTTTTCTTAATTTCAGTTGGAAATACCGCGTAAGAAGATTCGGTCTTCGTTTCATTTGACTTGATGAGTGACTGAGTAAATAATATGATCATTCCCACACATAGACTAATCTCTATTTTGATCATGATTTCTCAATTTGCTTTAATCTTCATTTACAAAAGATTCCGAATCCGTTATCAATGCCACATATCGATCCTCGGCCTCAAACTGAAAATTTGATACAACGTTATTGCATGCATTTTTTCTTAAAAAAGGTACATGCATATTATTAATTTCACTTTATTAATGAAAACAAGAGATACACGCCATGTACCACCTGATTTTGCGTTACATATCCTATTAATAGTTTTCATGATCTTTTTATTTTGATTATGGTCTTGAATGGAACTCAAGCATTCCATGTACGATTTAAATGTAGAGATTTTTGCCTTCGGAGTTTGGTACGGATCCGGCGAGGATGGGGGACGCAATGGAGCCCGGACGTGTGACATTTGATGATAAAATGGTGATAAGGAAAGCTATTGAAGAAGCTGGCATCCCTTTCACCTACGTTTCCGCCAATTGCTTTGCAGGTTACTTTGTTGGTGGTTTATGTCAACCTGGTCACATTCTTCCATCTACCGATTCTGTACTCATTCTTGGTGATGGTAACCAAAAAGGTAACTTTTTTTTTTACCCTTTTAAGTTAAAATATCAATTCCATAAAATGGAGGATTGTAACGACAAGGTCCATATAAATGTTAATTTGCTTAATCTTATAGGTTGATTAATTATATGTTTCCTCTTGGTCACATGTTGATAATGTGGATTAATAATGACTTATTGAGCAGCAATATATGTGGCTGAAGATAATATAGCAACATACACAATTAAGACCATAGATGATCCAAGAACACTCAACAAGACACTCTACTTGAGGCCTCCTCAAAACATACTTTCACAAAGAGAGGTGGTTCAACTGTGGGAAAAGTTACTAGGGAAACAGCTTGTCAAGACCTCAATCTCTAAAGACGAATTTTTATCAAATCTGAAAGGTACTCCTTTCGTCCCAACATAATTGTACTATTGTAAATTAGTTTTTAAATTCTAATTAATCACGGTTTGGTTATTTAATTTCTTTAAATAGGGCTTGAGTATGCAGAGCAGGTTGGATTAGTACATTATTATCACGTTTGCTTTGAGGGATGCCTTGCGAATTTTGAGATCGGAGAAAACGGTGAAGAAGCTTCAAAACTCTATCCGGAGGTTCCGTATACCACCGTGGAGGATTTCCTCAAGCGTTACCTATAATAATCAATATTAATACAATTACTTTGATGCAAATTGATGTTGCTTTTTATGTTCTTTTTTTTTTACTTTTTAAGTAACTTGGTGTCCCAAAACAGGGGCTGATTATGCATATTATCGTGTTTTATATATAAATTCATCTCCTGAAATGAAAGGATATATGTTTGATTCCTGCTTCTTTTTTTTTCCATTTTTCGATTTGTGACGTCAAAAAGGCTCCCCTTCAGATTTTAATTTTTTTTTCTTAACGTTGGTACATCTCCAATTGTCCAAATTTAAATGGTTAAGTATGTTTGGACATATATTTCTTGCCTTTCGATGCTTTTCCTGTAGTAATACTAAACTTGGTTAATTTAAGGTATCTTGCACTCAATGTGACGTGTGTGCTTGATGCATCACTGCATCAGCTGCATGCAAAAAAACTTGAGACCTTACTTATCTATGGTCCTTGGATCCCTAGGGAGAACGAGGGACCTCCAACTCTGTCTTTACAATTTTGGAGAATGCCCTGCTTGTCACATGTTAAAATTGTGGTACCAATTACTATTCCTGGCTCCCATATAAAAGAATCCAACGTTTGAGCTGGAGTTGTTTATCATGGGACCAAAATGAGACTTCTAGCCCAGTTATATCAAGCACAATATATTTGTATTGCTGTGTCACTATTAGTCATGGGGCCAATTAGTTCTCATTTTGAATTTCCTAGCTCCTATTTCTGATTCAAGATATATTGAATTATATTATTAAGAGAGAAATCAGAGAGAAATCAGAGAGAAATCATTTTGAACTTCTTGTTGAACCAATATGGTATCCAGCGAACATGTAATTATAATCATCTATAGTATATTATACTAAGAGAGAAATCAGAGAAAAGTTTCAAAAAGAGTTTTCACGTTGTCACGTAGGATAAAATCCTATATGACATTTTTATAAACAATCTCAGAAAAAAAGTTTATGTAATTACACTACAAGTCCTTAGAAATTTATAGAAACATTAGTTAAAAATGGAAAAATGGGAAGAGTTAATGGTCAGGACTAAATGGGAAAATGGGAAGAGAGTTAAATCGATATAAGTTCCAATTTCATAAATTAAGATTACCCTAATAATCAGTGCAAATTCCTGCTAAAATTTTACCATGTTTAACCGATCAAAACATTAATAAAGAAAATATCAATCAAAATAAATAGATCATGACTTTTCCTTAAAAAGTTTTATCATTTTTAAACCGACAATAGTATAAAAACATGAATCACCTCCATTATAATTAGCTTATCGCATTCAAGATTCGGGAATCAAAGGGATATGGTTGTTCTATCCCAATCTTGAGCATTTAACTTATTTGGTCAACTAATAATTAATTTTCCCGATACTACTCTTTTTTCTCATAAAGAACTCTTGAATTATAAATAGCTCTACATTCCCAACATCAATTCCCGGGCGATTGCTCAATGTGATAACAAATTGCTTTATTTTATGAAAAAAAAAATTTTAAAAAAACTTTATCTATTGATTAATGAATTTGTGTAATGTTTCAATGGTTATTTCAGCTTTTTTTTTTTTTTTTTTTGTAGGAAATACATGGCGTGGGAAGATATTTTGTGGAGCTAATTGCCATTAAAGAGGAAAAAGATTTGAACTTTACCCACTGGGTTTGAATGATACCTAAGATTCATTCTTGCATATTAATCAAAAGTTAATGTGTTGCTAATATGAACCTGAGGTATATTTGAAGGTTCCATAAAAATTAATTTTTTATATATAATAGCGGACTATATGCCTCGATCCATTGGAACATATAGTATATTAAAGGAGAGAACGGAAGACAGATTTAGTTCCATGGAGGAATACATACATCTATAATTTTTATTATTGTTCTTCAATTCTACTTTTAGAAATTTGCTTCAAAACGATGGTGAAAAATAGACGCAAAAGTAATTCTTTCATGATACTCTAAAAATTATTTTAATCATTTTTCTAAATGGTATTTTTATAGCAACTATTCATGTTTGTAAAGATCAATTTTGTATGTATTTTTAATTTCTGAAATTTATAAGTGATGAATAACTTTTTTCTTGAAATTTCTGCAGATGAAAGAATAAATTATTGAATTGGATCATATTACATTTTGACGTTCTAATACATGATGCTGGAAAAAAATGTTTATATTTGAAGTTCTAATTCCGGTGGAAATAAGTAGAGGTTTCCCTTTTTTATTGATGGAAAAAGAACATAAATGGTTGGAGAGTTCTTTTCTTTCCTAGATTAATAGTAGCATGATGTGTTTGGTTGTCTGTCAAAAAACAAGAAAAAAAAAAGGCTATCCAGATTCATGTTTGGTTGATTAACACAAAAAAAGCCACGAGTTGACTTCATACTATGTTAAATTAGTAATTTTGCTAGAAGTTTTGATAAAATGAAACAGAGGCTTAATTTCGTTTCTCCTCGATTGATGCATGTAAAATAGTGGTAAAAGTATATATTGGGTTTTAGTTACCTCCGATTAGGTCAATTTGAACCGGAGTTAGTTTTTTAAGTTGTAAAAATCTTTTTCTTCCATGCTTTTCAAAGTTGTTCTGCTGAAGATTTGTACGAATTGTTTGGTATATAAAGTCAGCTCGGAATCTACTGATAGAATAAAAATATTTTTGAAGTAGGGTCGACATGGTATGAATTACCTTAGGAAAAAAATGGCAGTTTTAAGGTTCAAATTGTTTCTTGGAAAGGCTAGGATTGGCCTCTTCTTAGATTGGCCCTTTCAGGTAGGACTATCAGATTGGTTTTTTTTTTTTCAATTCAGAGTTCTATTTAGATGAGAATGCTCCATCTGAATTTACTTCTGGTGTATGTAGAATATAATTTTTGAAAGAGAACATAGATATGGTGAATCACCTAATTATGTAATTCTAAAAGGTAAATATCTCATGTCAACATAAGCATCATCTTGAATGCGTATTCGGTAGAAAAATAAAGAAAGTTCAGAACTTTGTTATTTAAATTGCTCGCTTCGGGATTACATTTTGGGAAGAATTCTTAATCCTTGCAGGATTAAAACAAGCTTCTTTGGTAAACCAAATAGAGCTTTGCCACAGTATTCCATTGTTGAGTTTGAACTATCAAAATTAATGACCAAAACCAATTAGAGATGCTAGATTACTTAGATGGCACCAAGAGCAAGCCTCCGGTGATTTCAAACCTTTCTTTTCCTTCTTTAATGTTGGAGAAAGCTTTCTGTGAAATTATTATACATAAAAACATAGTCATAGTTATAAAACCAAATTGAAACTATCGATTAATTTATACGAATGGATAAATTTGATCTTGAGTGAAATTTTATTATGCCTAAACCTTTTGTTAAACATTTTAACCTAAGTTAAGAAATTATATAAGGCTGAAGTAGTGATTAAATATTTTAAACTATCTGTTGAAAAAAGAGTAGCAATACAGAGGAATAAACTAACTCTTTGTATGCATTATCTTTATGTTGCTTATTCATTTTATTTAATCCTGCTGTATATAAACTAATTAACGTATGCTGTATAAACTGGCCTAATGGAATGTATAAACTTGTAATTTTTGCATGATGTGTTTGGTTGTCTGTCAAAAAACAAGGAAAAAAAAAAGGTTATCCAAATTCGTGTTCGGTTGATTAGCGCAAAAAGAGTCACGAGCTGATTTCATAATATGCTAAATAAGTAGTTTTATTACTTCTTAGAGTACATTCGAGGTTCCCCATATGCTTACCTTTTCTTTGTTTTGTTGATTTTTTTTTTTGTCTTAGTACCTTTTCATTGTTGCAATTATATACATTCCATGATTAATTAACAGTAAGGTTTGCCTTTGGATTACAGATCACTGCTTTCATGAATTTGAGTTAGTAGTAACTTTGTTTCTTATCCCGTTCAAATTATATAATGTAAATATGTTAGTTCCTTTGATTTGTCATGCCTTAGTTGATTTAAAAGTTTTAGTACAGTTTATGTGCACTTTGGGCAATTAGTCCTAATACCATTGCCGGTGCTGCTTTTAATTCATTGTTCCTTTATGTTTTTGCCTTAGTCCATTGCTTCAGCCTTTGAGGTTTATGGATTGTATCTATCTTGCAACCAAAACTTCTCTTCAAAACTTGTATTAAGGAAATTCATGCTATCTTATTATGCTCCTTGTTGTGTGTGGTTGTCAGTTGCCAAGAATTATTATTAGAGATATATGAATCATTTATTTATACTCTGGTTAAGAAATTATATAAGGCTGAAGTAGTGATTAAATATTTTAAACTACCTGTTGAAAAAGGAGTAGCAATACAGAGGAATAAACTAACTCTTTGTATTTATTAACTTCATGTTGCTTATTCATTTTATTTGACCCTGCTATATATAAATTAAATAATGTATGCTATATAAACTGGCCTAATGGAATGTATAAACTTGTAATTTTTGCATGATGTTTTTGGTTCTCTGTCAAAAAACAAGGAAATAAAAAGGTTATCCAGATTCGTGTTTGGTTGATTAGCGCAAAAAAAGTCACGAGCTGATTTCATACTATGCTAAATAAGTAGTTTTACTACTTCTTAGAGTACATTGGAGGTTCCCCATATGCTTACCTTTTCTTTGTTTTGTTGATTTTTTTTTTGTTTGTCTTAGTACCTTTTCATTGTTGTAATTATATACATTCCATGATTAATTAACAGTAAGGTTTGCCTTTGGATTACAGATCACTGTTTTCATGAATTTGAGTTAGTAGTAACTTTGTTTCTAATCCTGTTCAGATGATATAATGTAAATATGTTAGTTCCTTTGATTTCTCAAGCCTTAGTTGATTTAAAAGTTTTAGTACAGTTTATGTACACTTTGGGCAATTAGTCCTAATACCATTGCCGGTGTTGCTTTTAATTCATTGTTCCTTTATGTCTTTGCCTTAGTCCATTGCTTCAGCCTTTGAGGTTTATGGATGGTATCTATCTTGCAACCAAAACTTCTCTTCAAAATTTGTATTAAGGAAATTCATGCTATCTTATTATGCTCCTTGTTGTGTGTGGTTGTTAGTTGCCAAGAATTGTGATTAGAGATATTTGAATAATTTATTTATACTCTGGAAGTATAAATATTAGTTGGAAGCTAAAACGCATAGAAAGGATTTGAAAAAAATTCGGATTCAATTGCAAATTTAGCTTCTGAATTTCTGTAATTTTTGCATGATGTGTTTGGTTGTTTGTCAAAAAACAAGGGAAAAAAAAGGTTATCCAGATTCGTGTTTGGTTCATTAGCGCAAAAAGAGTCACGAATTGATTTTATACTATGCTAAATAAGTAGTTTTACTACTTCTTAGAGTACATTCGAGGTTCCCTATATGCTTACCTTTTCTTTGTTTTGTTGATTTTTTTTTTTTGTCTTAGTACCTTTTCATTGTTGCAATTGAATACATTCCATGGTTAATTAACAGTAAGGTTTGCCTTTGGATTACAGATCATTGTTTTCATGAATTTGAGTTAGTAGTAACTTTGCTTCTAATCCCATTCAGATTATATAATGTAAATATGTTAGTTCCTTTGATTTGTCATGCCTTAGTTGATTTAAAAGTTTTGGTACAGTTTATGTGCACTTTGGGCAATTAGTCCTAATATCATTGCTGGTGCTGCTTTTAATTCATTGTTCCTTTATGTCTTTGCTTTGGTCCATTGCTTCAGCCTTTGAGGTTTATGGATTGTATCTATCTTATGACCAAAACTTCTCTTCAAAATTTTTGTTAAAGAAATTCATGCTATCTTATTATGTACCTTGTTGTGTGTGGTTGTCAGTTGCCAAGAATTGTGATTAGAGATATATGGATCATTTATTTATACTCTGGAAGTATAAATATTAGTTGGAAGCTAAAACGAATAGAAAGGATTTGAAAAAATTCGGATTCAATTGCAAGTGTTTGTGGGAGTTAGTTACTCCAATTCCCTGAATGATTTTCTAAAGTTTCTTCTCTTGAATATGCCGTTGAATCACCGAGGTTTAGATTACTTTTAATAGCTCATGAAAAGGGATTATAATTTGTCTGGAAATTCGATTCGAATGTACATGAACATTTTCCAGATCTGTTTTTCATGTGTTTCACCTACTTAATAGTTTTCTGCTCCATGTTTCCTACAGCTCATAAAGTGATTTGATGCATGAGCTGCCTGAAAATGTCCACGTCGAGGAACACATCTAAGACCAGGTACGTTTCATAATATTGTGCAACTTTAGCTATATTGTATGTTTTCACTTTTTATAGTTTCATTATTTGAAGACTTTCTTATTTTCCAATCTTGCTCTTTCTGTGTAATTTTCTGTAAACTTAGGTTTGCCATTTAGGTCCTCTATATTAGTTTTGTGGAACTTTTGTTTTATTTTACGTCTTACTGTTTTGTACCTTCTGCACTTCAATTCATCTTCTAGCTGTTGTCCATTATGTGTACATTATTGTAAACTTAGGAATCCCATCCAAGTAGGCAAAATGACTAGAAAAAAAAATACATTCTCAGGTTGAACAACGTGCACAGGAAAGAAACACACGCTGTAAAACCCGTATGCATGAACAATCAGTAAATACTCACCATAGAACCTACATGTATGAACAAATTATTGACCCTTTACAACACATAGCAACTACTCCTGATTTACTACCTGATGCACTTGATTGTAAATTTTGTGGTGCAAGACGTTTACATTCTGAACCACCTGGCTTTTGTTGTTCATCTGGGGAAATAGAACTCCGGGAAATAATAATGCCAACGGATTTGGTAGAACTATATACAGGAAAATCTGAAGAGTGTAAACATTTTCAAACTTGCGTGCGTAGTTATAACAATATGTTTGCGTTTACATCGTTGGAGTTCATTATGATAAATCTTTAACTCAAAGAAATAAAGGTGTATACACATTTCGTGTTCAAAGACAACTTTATTATTTTATGTCCACTTTAATACCACCTGAAAATGAAAAGCCGCAAAATGTGCAGCTTTATTTTTATGATACAGAACACAAAATTGAAAACCAATTGTCCATAAGTTCAAAAAAATTCAGAGAGAGTATCATAAAAAATTTGATGCATATTCTGAAAAGAAAACCCTTATACACATTTTTTCTGAACATTAAACAATGTTGATAATTTGTTGGCATTTAAAATTGCTTTACAAGTTAATCCGACGTTTGATAATAACACATATAATAAACCATCTATATCTCAAGTAGCAGGAATATGGTTAGAATCCAAGGAGTCTAACCAAGTTGCAAGTCAACACATTCAAATATATCCTAAAAGCAATCCTTATGATAATAAATCCCAAATTATTCAAAGTTATTTTGGATGTTATGACCCAGTACAATATCCTCTCATATTTCCTGCTGGAGATCCTGGGTGGCACCGATCGATTAAAAGATTGAAGTCCCCGGGAATTAATTTTTCTAAAGAAACATGCAGTGGAGAAGCTATGCACAGAATTGAAAATTACTGCAATCCTGAAGATTTTTTAGAAGCAGAAATGGGAGGTAACAAAAGCATTTACATTTTTTTTCCTAATGCTTAAAAATTAAGAAAATGATAAACTGAACAACAACTTTCTATAACTTAGGTACAAAGAAAAAAAAGAACACAAGAGATGAAGTTTCATGTTGTGAATATTATTGTTATAAACTACATGTTAGAAATAATGATAAATCTTTTTAGCTTCATGTTAGCAGACTCCTACAACAATACGTTATAGATATGTACATTAAAATTATAAAACAGATGAAATGCAGAGTTTAGTAAGAACTGATGTTTATCGTGGTCTTTTAGATGGTATTTCTCAAGGTCATAACACAGGTGCTGATATCGGCAAACGAGTAATGTTACCAAAATCTTTTATAGGAGGACCGAGAGATATGCGAGAAAGATATGTGGATGCTATAGCTCTTGTTCAACGTTATGGGAAACCAGATATTTTGCTGATGATGACAACAAATCCAAATTGGTCTGAAATAAAACCTTTTTGTTTGCAATCTGATGAATCTCAGAATAGACCAGTTATAGTTGCTAGAGTATTTCATGCAAAATTAGAGATGTTAAAAAAAGAATTACTTGACAATCATATTTTTGGTGTGGTTATAGTTTACACATATGTTATAGAGTTTCAAAAAAAAATGTTTACCTCATGCTCATTTTTTACCTCATGCTCATTTTTCACGGGTGCCTTGGTTTAAAAAATGCCTAGAAAAAAGAGTAGGTAGATCTTTTTTTTTTTTGTGAAACAAAATACGGAGATCGGATTTACAAATCCCAATCTACTAATTTAGATTTTACAAATCCGATTTAATAAAATAATAATTTTTTTTTCGGAAAATACATGTGAAAAATATAACATGAAAGTCAACTAATGAACAGTGTAAGGTCGGAGTTAAGGAATCCGACTTTTTTTATTTTTAAAAAATAAATATATAGGCGGGAGATTTGAAAATTAAGAACAGTAGCGGGTCGGATTTTCGGAATCCGACCTACCTTTTTTATGCTTAAAAAATAAATATAGGCGCGAGATTTGAAAATTAAGAACAGTAGAAGGTCGAATTTACAAAATCTGACCTTATTTTAAGCATACCTAACAGTAGGTATCGGCATTGAATAGACGTTATTGGCGGGCAAAAGGTCGGATTCTTGAAATCCGAGTTGATATGTAAATCGGATTTAGGAAATCCGACCTTACTTATAAACTCGGATTTTAGAAATCCAACTTTATTGTGTTATAATGGGACGATGAAAAACACTATTTACATATCGGGATTTTGGTGAAGGAGGCGATTTCTTGAAGGAGGAGGTGATTTTAGTGGCGATTTGAAGATTTTGTTCACGATTCTTTGCAACGGATGTCTTAAAACCATTTCACAAGAAGGTTAGTTATTGTTTTGATGTATTTAGAATTATTGTTGTTGTTTTCTTTGTAAAAGTGTAGAACTAGGATCATTTATAAGGTTTTAAGGTTGATGTTGGGTGTAGTTGATGATTGTTGTTGTATACATGGTATTGAACGTTCAATTTAGTAAAATGCTTGAATTTGGCCTAAACTTTTGAATTTGTAGAGGGTTTAGTAAATTTAGTGTTGATTATGTCTTGTTTGTGGTAATTGTTATAATAAGTTGTTTGATAATGCCTTGTTTGTGTATTTTTTTTTTAATAATTTGTTCATAATGTGTTGTAATTCACGTAATCAACAGATATAAATGGTGTTTAACGGTCCATATTTCATTAATGTCTATTGGTCGAGCAAATTTGTTATGAAGAATGGGATTGTGAATACTTTTAACAACATGCCGGACGATTCCTTTGTGATTGATCATAAGGTATTGTACAATGATTTGGTTGGATTGATTTGTGAAAGGGCGGGGTGGAATAAAGAGTATGTGAATTTGAGTCTATCGATTTTGTATGATAGGATGGGCAATGGTTTTAGGCGTATCGCCAAAATCAAGGACGACGCATCATTGCAAGTGTTATATTTCCTCCCAAATTCGACATATATTGATTTGTATGTGGATTTGGAGGTGGCGGGTACTTCTAGGTCCCATTTGGAAGTAGGGACAAGTAGTGGTGGGCCGAATGTGGAGAATGTCGATTACATGGAAGATGATAATGTGGGTGGACCAATTATGGAGGATGGCGATCACATGGAAGATAATCACGCAGAAGATGATGAGGACTACACATCGATAAGTGATCAAAGGGATGAAAACCAATTAATATCCGAAGGAAGTCGGGAGAGTGATGAAGAGGTTGAAGACAAATTCGCCACAAAGGACAGGCACATATATCATTCACAGGGTACATTGGATCTTACAAAAGTGGATAAGGATGAATTTCAACTTACCATGTGGGACGGGACGACCGCAACAATCGGGATAGGGACTTGTTTCAAGAATAAGGAAGAAGCCAAAAATGGTATTGCAGCGTGGAACATAGAGCAAAAGAGAGAGTTTTATGTGAAGGAAATTGATGGTTCAACATGGTATATTTGGTGCAAATCCCTAAAACAGTCAACCCCTAAGGGTTATGTTCCTTGCCGTTGGAAGGTACGTGCCTCCTTGAGAGACCACGGTTTGTGGGAGATTGTGAAATGGGTGCCCGAGCACAATTGTATGAATGTCACCGAGGAAAATAATAATCGAAATGTGAGCACAATGTTTATTGTTCATCTCATAAGGCATAAGGTTGAGTTAGACCCGGATTATTAAGTGAAACTCGTTCAGGAAGAAGTGAAAGACCGTATACATGTTGATGTTCCTTACCATAGGGCATGGGAGGGAAGGAGAAAATCTATCGATCTTGTTTACAGCGACTGAGTTTCTAATTTTGACATACTTCCAAGGTATTTACTTAAGTCCTATCTAATTTGTTTGATTTGTTTGTAATTTACTTTTAAAATAAGCATTAATTTTTTTTTTAATTTAGGTTTTTCGCCGCCCTAGAGAAGAACAACCCCGGCAAAGTTGTAGAGTGGGAATGGCAACCGGGTTGGACAGATACAGAGAGGACGTTCAAATACATTTTTTGGGCATTCAAGCCTGCAATTGATTGTTTTGCTAAATGTCCTTTGGTGATTAGTATCGACGGGAAGCACTTGCGTGGCGGATACAAAGGGAAATTACTTGCTGCAATGGTCAAAACTGCGAATAAGCGCATCCTGCCAATTGTATATGCGATCGTGGATGAAGAGAGTGAGGAAAGTTGGTCATTCTTCTTGAAGCATTTGAATAATCATGTTATATCCTACCGTCCTGTGTGTGTTATATCCGATCGGCACAAGGGTATCATTAGTGCAATATGCCTAATGCCCGAATGGAATGCATACCACCGGTTCTGCCTTCGTCACGTTTGTAGCAACTTGGTGGCGCGGTTTCGAAGTAAAAAGATCAAAAGGTTGTGTTAGGAGATGGGCACGAAACTTTCAAAGTCTAAATTCAAAGAACTAAGGAAAGAGCTACGTGATTTTAGCAATGATGCATATTTGTATCTTGAGGAGATTGATACTTGTCAGTGGACGCTTGCCAAAGACAAACACTATCGTTGGGGTAACCAGACAACCAACATTTTTGAGAGTTACAACCTCAAGGGCGTTTGTTTCTTGCCGATCCGAGCTTTGGTGGAAGCCACCTTTATTAAGACTGTGGATTTGTTCCAGGAAGAATACGTGAAGTCGAGGAAATGTATTACGCCGATCCCAACTGACTTGTGGGAAGACTTCAAGCAAAAAAGAAAAGAAAGCCATGCAACACAAAGTCAACCGTTATGGTGCTATTAATGTCAAGTTCAAGGTGAAAAGTAGAGCCCGACTTGGTGGTAAAGGGGACAACACGTACACTGTGAAAATGAAGAGAAGAAGTGTTCTTGCAAGAAGTGGCAAGAGTATAGGTTCCCTTGTACACATGCACTAGCCGTGTGTTGGAAGATAAAAGATCAACCAATCAATACGGTGAATCCATATTTCAGGGTTGTTGCTTGGCAAGACAAATTCAGTGGGCACGATGACTTTTCCCCGGTCCCTGATAAGAGAAGATGGCCTAAGGTTGGATGGAGACTCGTTCCTAACTACGAGTGAGTTATTATGCATGCTGGACCCGGTCGTTGGCAAAAGAAGAGATTTAAAATGTAAATGGATTATAGGGGACGCAAATCGAGGGGTGAATGTTTGAGATGTGGCTCAAGGAATCATTTTACCAATGCGTGCCCAAAATCACACAAGAAATCCGATAGGACAAGGCTCAAGATCAATTGGGACGCCGATGGTATTCACAACGACTAGGATTGTTGTTTGAATTGTTTGAATTGTTGTTTATGTCTCAAAAGAATGTTTCATGTCCCAAAACTCTTGTAGTTTATGCTTAATGAATTAGTTCGTTTAATATATTGTTGTTGTTTTTGATATTAGTACTTGTTAAAAAGGGCAGGTGCAACAATTATCAAGTGCTTTTTGTAATTTTAGGGTATAAGTCGGACTTACAAAATTTGATCTAGGAAATAAGTCGGATTTCCAAAATTCAAGTTTTTAAGAAAATCAGATTCCAAACATCCGATTTAGAGCCTAATTCGGATTGCGTAAATCCGACCTTGACACTGTTAACTCCAAGGTCAGATTTTGGATGAAGGTCGGATTTTGGTGAACATTTGAAGCCAATTTCCAAAACTCTCTGTCCAAGGTCGGATTTATAAAATTGGATTTTGTGAATAAATTGGATTTTGTGAATCCGATTTTCGGGGACTATATGTATGTTTGACCAAAATTTTGGGGAGTCAAAATCAACTCCCCCTTCTTCCCCAACCCTAATCGGCAAATTCCCCCCTCCCGGCGAATCCTTCTACCGGCAATAAGCCCCTCCCGGTTGGAATCCCCCCTCCCTGGGACCGAAATCCCCCTCTCAACGTCTCTCCTTTTGCTGCAGCGACTCTCCCCTAACCCGACGACTCCTCCCCGGCGACTCCCCCCTAACCCGACGATTCCGGCGAGTTGTACTCTGCACCGGCAATTCTCCTTCCCGGTGACTCCGGCGTCTCTCCTCTGCACCGACGACCTTTCTGTGGGCCTTATTCCCGGCGTTATCCCTCTCCCGGCAAGGTTGGTTTTTTTTTTTTTGGACACCGATGTGTGTGTGTGTGTGTATTGCTGTTTGTGACTGTGTGTGTGTGTGTGTATGTGTGTGTGTGTATTGCTGTTTGGCCTTATTCCCAGCGTTATGGTGTTGTGTGTGTGACTGTGTGTGATTGTGTGTGTGTGTGTATTGCCTGTGTGACTGTTTTGCTGTTTGGCCTTGTTGTTGTTGTTATTCTTGTTGTATTGCCTGTGTGACTATTTCTGCTATCTAAGCTTCAGTGTTTCTGTTGTATTGTTGTTTTTGTATTGCTGTTTGGCCTTGTTGTTGTTGTTATTGTTATTGTTGTTTAATGTATTGTTGTTTTGCTGTTTGGCCTTGTTGTTGTACATATATATAATTTGTCCGAAGATATATTGCTGTCATGTAAGAATGTCTGTTTTTGTTGATAGTATACAAGTGTTTTGATAGTAGGGTTTAATTTTGAAATGTGCCTTTTGGATGAATGGTGATAGTATTGATATTGATAAATGTTGTAGGATTAAAAAATGGAGGGTTCGAGCTCCTCGCAACCTACACTGCAACATTTTAATCCGGCTCTAATAGATGACTCCTTGTTATACCTTTATGACCATCATAGGGCAAAAGCCATTTTATTTTAAAATTTTTCTATTTTTTAATTCTTGCTATATCTTATACTTTATTAACATAGTTCAATTTTCTGCAGTTTTCAAATCTCAGCGACATATATCGCTGATGCAGCCATACAGAAAAATTCAGGGCTCGGTGGTAGTCTAAAGGATAAACTCTTGCAAATCTTCAACAATAGTTTCAATGCCTTGACTTTGGGCCCACGTGAAATGAGCACTCTGCCCGATACTCAGGTTCTTCAGAAAAGACCATCGAAGTCAAGTGAACATGTTGTGCTCACGCAGAAAACAACATCGAAGCCTACTGGAGGAGGAAGGAGGAAGCGACAGGGAATTTCAGATCGAACAATCATAGTTCATCCCAATCCAACTCGGATGCAAGAAGATGATGAAGGCAATGAAAGCGATGAGGATTACTAAATTGGGGGCGAAGGAGAAGAAGAAGAAGAAGAAAAGAAGAAGAAGAAGAAGAAGAAGAAGTAGAAGAGTCCTCTCCACCTCGTGTTTCTTCCCAAAAGAAAAAGAAAACGGTCGATGTTCGCAAGAGTGATAGAGTTAGTAAACCGGCCGAGAAGTATACTCCCGGCGACGGGGCTAGAAGGAAGAAAAGGTCGTCCAAGTAATTCAATCGTATGACTCTTTGATGTGTATTAGGAGTTATTTGGATGTTTTTTATGATTTTAAACTCTTTAATGTTTATTAGTTATAATTGGATGATTTTGGAATTTGAATGCTTTTGAATTTGTTAATATTTGTTACGATGTGTTTAGAATGTGTTCATAGGTAATTTTATGCGTGAAATTTGGTTTTGGTGCTGTTGTGATAGGTTGGGATTTGTTTAGAAACCAATCCTTTATTTTTTTCTAAGTTTCTGTCCAAGGTCGGATTTCTGAAATCCGACCTTCCACTTGTTTTACTAAGAAATCGGGTTCGGATTCTCAAAATCCGATTTAAGCTTACCCGGATTTCAGAAATCCGACCTTCTGTTAAAATCGAATTCCTAATATCCGACCTTGGTCAAAATTTCAATTCAAAAAAAAAAAACTAAGTGTTTTTTTTCAAAATATTATATTTTAATATGACAAGGTCGGATTTTGAAAATCCGGCCTTCTCTTAATCTTGATTACTGTAATTAATTTTTCGTATTAAGGGAAGGTCGGATTTTGAGAATCCGATTTACTGTGAAAATCGGATTTTAGAATCCGATGTCGGTATTTTGCTCTTCTCCAAATTTCGACCTATATTTCTCTCTTCTCCTATTTCTGGGCCATTTTTTTGATCAAAAACTCCATTTTTTACTGATTTTCAGTTCAAGAACAAAAATGTATTCTGCTGAAGCATTTGATAGAATTGTTTGTGCTGAATTACCTGATTCAGAAACTAACAAATATTTATTTGATCTCGTAAAAAAGCACATGATTCATGGTCCATGTGGTAAGTTTAATAGAACTTTCCCGTGCATGAAATATAGTAAAAATTGCAAATTCAATTATCCAAAAGATTTTTCAGAAATTACAAAGTATAGAATTAACTCTTATCCAATATATCGAAGAAGGGATAACAAACGAGTTGTGAAGGTTGGAGAATTCTGGCTTGACAACCAATGGGTTGTCCCTTACAATCCATACTTACTCACCAAATTTGGTTGTCATATTAACGTTGAAATATGTTCTACCATCCAAGCTATAAAATATCTTTACAAATACAAATACAAAAGACATGATAGAAAAATTGTGCAAAGTAGTTGAAGAAGACAGGCAACTTGTAACTGACGAAATTAAAAACTTCCTCAATGGTAGATGGATTTCAGCCCCTGAGGCAGTTTGGCGTATCTTTAAATTTGAACTTAACAAAATACACCCTGCTGTTATACCCTTACCTATCCATTTAGAGAATGAGCAACTTGTTACTTTTCCTGGAAATCAAAAATTAAGTAGTATCATTAGAAATCCCCTGCTAAAGAAAACCATGCTCACAGAATTTTTCCACATGAATGAA